TCGGATCGACGCAGCAGCAGATGTCCAGGAACTCGTTCAGCCGCTCGCTCATCTTCGAGTCCAAGAAGTCGTAAGGGAAGGACACGACCCACTCGAGCAGGAAGTGAACGACGCTGCGCGCAAACTTCGTCCTCAGGTCCTGAAACATGACAGGACAGTGATGACTGTCAAATCACCCGACGATGGCTAACGATTCGGCAGTGTCAACCGAAAGAGCCACGGAATCGTCAGCCCGGAGGTCGTACCTTGCGGTAGTTGACGCCGGCGCTATTTTGCTCGTATATGCAGTGCTGAAGGATTTCCTGGAGCAGCTCGGCCGGACTACAGAACATCCTTGCGCTGAGTAGAAACGTGAAGATCTGGGACTTGTCCGGCATGTAGTCTTTACGAGGCAAAATGTTTTCCAGCAGAGCATGCAGAGAATCGTCCAGCGAAGTGCCAACGCCACTAGTGCCACCGCAGGTGCTGCTGCTGCCATCTGTGCTGCCCTTTTCCTGCTGAAAAGTTTAGTGTATGAACTACTTGTATTTTCGAAGCAACATTTGCGCAGTGGCCCTGAAAAAAATAGCCGTTGTAGAATCAAAGGAAATTGTACTTTGAGATACAATGACATTCTGTATCATGAGCTCGGACTCTTTATGCTGAAACCTCGGCATCCCAGTAGCAGAGAGCGGGCAACCAGAAAGTTACGAAATCAAGTGGGCGAACTAAGCAAGGGTGCACATTCATTAGTCAATTTGATAACAACACCTTGAGTTATTTAGGAACGACTAGGGACGACATCTATATTAATCAATTAGAAAGCACATCGAAACTTTTTCTCTAAATGTCTTCCTTTGGTTGCTAAATGAAGCGGTAGAATGCCGATTTAACCGCTATAACAACCCGTCAAAGGGTCAAGAAAACGAGGTACTGTTCCATTTTAAGTACATAGAAGTTTTTATAACGACTAAGTCATCTACTAGGTGGTCAGTGCTATCATGGTCAATTGAAAGGGGTGATCGAATAGCGTAAATACGCGTTTAATAATAATGCAGCTACGTCATGACTGCCCTCCCTTTTTAGTGACTTCTTAGAAAAGGATGGCGAACACTTTTTCTCCATACTGTCCACCAATGATCAAGGTATAACCAGTAAAAATTCACGCATTTAGAAAAAACCAAGATTTGAGAGCTACACCTCGTTGTCTCAAACATAAGTAAAGACGTAATTTCTTTAAACTACCAACTGCTTCAGTTTGTACTGAGGTACAAACAGTTACAACTGGTTACAGTTTGTCATCCATTAGGCATGTCAGTGCAACAGTAGGACATTACTAATATGCATACCCACGGAAAACATAAAACAGATTCTCAGACAAGTTTTTGCTAAGTGTCCTTCATGGTTTATAAAGTAATAAGAATTCCTGCGAAATGCTCTCAAGGGAATCTTGACACCGACTTTAGGATCAAAGTTAGGATCTATCAGTCACTCACTCACTCAGTTTCCACGGCCACTTATTCATTCTAGTCGCAGAGGCAAGAAACGTTACTCATCCTGTGCCGAGGTTTGAGCTTCCAGAGAAGATAAACTGAGTCGGTGGCAGAGTCCTTCCATACAGCTAGCCGATGGTATTCTTTCCTTTCCAGGGGGTCTTTGGCTGGTCGATTGAGCAAGTGGTAGCTGTTTTGCATTCTTTCCTGGAATCTTGCGCGAACGACGGGCCCTAACCACCAAGTTTTGACTTCTCGATCAGGAGAAGCAGCGACTGTACACCAAGGATCCTTGGATATTTGTACGCTGGATCAGCTGCTCGTCTAAGAAAGCCCCTTTCAGCCGCTGTAGCCGGGATCAACGATTTTTCAGTCATGTCCCACGATTCATTACCGTAAATGAGCATGAGGATGAAGACCAAGTTGAACATAGACAAGTAGGTCTTCAGACTGAGCTCTGCATTAGTCACAGTGGGTCGGGCTAGTTCACGCAGAACGTCACTGGCTACTCCAATCCGTACGTCGATCTTTCCATCACACAAACACGACCCATAAGTACATGAATTTCTCCAGCTGTTGCATTACTGCTCCATTTAGCTACACTGAAACGGACAGGAAAAGGAGGAAACACCAACATTTTGTTTCATATACATTCCTATGAACGCTGGACACACCTCATTTCGGCTGAAAACCTATTCAGAGAGTGGTGGAGTAAAATTTTAAAAAATAGCAACAAAAAAAGATCATTTGTACACAAAAAACTTCTCGTTTCTCGAAGTTCTCCATACTATATGTTTAGAGGAATATTCACAGCTAATTGCGCGATATCCAATCATAGGCTTTCTCCAGATCAACAAAGCACATGGAAATCGGATGAGGGAACTCTCATGATTTCTCAACAATCTGGCGTAAGGCGAAAATTTAGTCAGGGGTGCTTAAGCCTGACCTCACGAGTCATCTCCTGTCCAACACCTTATCGTAAACTTTCCCCGAGAGGCTCAGTAAGGCAATACCTGGGTAACTGCCAATCCTTATGGTTTCCCTCCTTGAACAAGGGCAATGCCATTATTGTTCTCTAGTCCATCCGTATCTTTCTTTTTGCCATTGCAATTGGAGAGAAATGCGTTAGCCATGATATCCATCGTCGTTCACGAAAAGCCTTAAACGTCTCATGGCGGATTTCATCGATTTAAAAAGTTTTGTCGCTTTTCAAGCTTTGACAGTTTCTGTGACCTTGTTGACTCAGTCACCAATATCGGTTCAATGCTGCTCTTTTGGCGAGTCTTCTTGTGGTTGCTCAGGGCTTAGGAGTTCCACAAGAATACTCTATACGTCGTGGAAGCATGTCCTATTTTTTGGTGGAAAGGCCACTGGGCTTGCCATTCAGAGCTTGTACATTGCCCTTCTTTCCATCTAGGAGACGGAGGATTGTCAGCCAGAATACCTTGTTTACCGTGTGGAAGTTCGACTGCAGTGCCTTGCCGAATTTCCCCTGAACAAGTTTCCACCTTCGTTGCCGCACTGTGTGTTTTTATTCTGCATTCGAGCTGAAGGCTCCTTGCTTCCAAGCCATTTGTTGAATGCAGCCTTCTTCTCGGTGACAGCCAGATGTACCTCTCGTGTCCACCAGGAAGTTGTTTTCTGACCTCCAGGCGTAGGCCAACCAGTTTTAAACCGCGGCATTCGGCAGCAGCCGCGACAAAGCCGCTCTTTAAGAGCTTCCACTCTGTGTCCACGCCAGTCGCATCACTTGGATCTGTTCAAACAGTAGGTCACGCGAAGTTGTTTGCAAGTTTCTTGCTCGTGATCGCAGAAAATACTCTATCCCGTTTGATGTCTGGTAATTTTACCGCCAGGATTTCGCATGGTACAACGCCTGCAGCTGACAGTAGAAGTTGGCACCTCGTACAAAACACATTTTAATTCCTCTAGGAAGGACCCAAACTCCCGTTCAGAACTGGACATATAGACGGGTAAGAAGGTAAAGGCTTTCGCGC